ATTCCGAATTTATTTACTTATTGTGTCTAAGTATAAATGTACCTGTGATATGAATATAAGTATACATATATGTCAATATGTATATGTTTGAAGTGTTTGGTTAGATTAGGTCCAAAGTGAGTGGGTCTCTTCTACCCTCCACCGCAAACCGCAAGGGTTTACTGTGGCTCACACCTATTCACACTCGGCCAAATAAACCCAGCTTCTTACCGAAACCAATTAGTTTGTATGGTGAGTGGTCTTTCAGATCAGATGGTAAGAGAACGGCTCTGCCGAACTCTAACGGCATGATTCGGTCCCCTGCGGGGCAGGCATAAAGTATATGCTTTGTTAATGAGGTAGTCGGATAGTCAACTTGAAAGATTCCCACCTTGATACCCACGACAACCTTCCCGTATGAGGGTTTTTGAACGTCAGCTACACCTGACGATGCCTTAGATTAGATTCAGCCGTGTAGGGCTTTTTCGCCACTGGTTTTGGTAAATAATCACTTGAGCGCAAACGTTTGCTAACCTGTTCGAAGTGTACTTCAATATTGTATAATATATACTGTATTTGTTTCCATAGTATATATGTATATTTTCATAACTTCCAATTGACGATTCTCATATCACTTTGGTGATATATGGTTATTGAATAATTTGAGTTTGAATTGATATTCGAATATGAAATGTTACGGGAAATTCATAATTTTATCACATAGTTTATATTATTTAATATATATTTCCTACCATCAATTAACGTGTTAGGAATCACACCTTAAAAGGTAAGACCTCGTTAATCCTTAGCTCGCACAAGTTTCGACTTCTGAGGGTTGTCGTTCCTAGGGGTGCGACAGCTGGTTAACGAAAAAAAAAGATTTTTTTTGTTATAGTATTTTCATTCGGATTTATAGATTTATTCTCTAACAACTCCTATCACTGAAACCGCGTACCAGAAAATCCCGTTGATACCTTCAATCTGAGTACTTGAGCAGTCGATTGCGGTTATTAAGCACTTGTGTATACGAATGCTCTGTGCTTTAGTTAGATAGTACATGAATACCTCTGTAGTCTGTAGCAGCTAAGGCTTTATTTTCTAATAGGTTATTCTGTGTATGCAATCCTTTCTCAAGCTCACCTTCAGACACAAATTTCAAGGTTATAACAATAACACTCATTTCGGAAAGTTTTTCAAGGTTTATTTTTAAATGATTATTATAATGCACGAGACGGTCTCCTGAATATCCTTTCAATATAATTATTACGTCATAGTGGTAGAGTGGAGACCAAAAATGGGCTGCCATTGAATATAATGCAATTGTAATAGCGTATTTGGAGTAAGAGGGTGATGCGAGTTAACGAAAGAAACTTTCAAATTTGGCTGGAAACCATAAAAATGTAATTAGGGTCTAGCAAAGAGCTCCATTACGAGACAGGATTGTGAAAGAAAATTTCATTTTCAGCATATCTTCACGTCTCATACGAGCGCGAAGACATTCGGTGTGGAAAAAGTGATCGTATACTGAAGCCAATGATATATTCCGCCTATGACTTGGCCTTGAGTTGTCTGTGACGACACATGATAATGTGTTAGGGCATAACCATGAAAACCCCCTTTTAATCCTCCGCCTATGATTTCACCTCGAAGCCGCAAAGATTCGATCACCGGTCACGGTCACATTATAGTGTTCAGACTAAACTAGGACCCTGCAGTGCGAGGACATACTTGCACATAAAGGTGTGTGACGTACTCGATACAGTGTCAGGATATTTCACACTATTCTTTCATTGTAATAGAGTGTGAATAGTAGTTATTCAGCACTTGTATATACGAATGTTCTGTGCTCAAGTTCGATAGAACTTGAGCACAGAACATTGGCCAGAATTTCTGGGATGCTGAAGAAGGTATTAGAACGAGTTCCATACAATAGTAGTGATGAGAATAATCGATCTATCCGACGCAAAAAATAACTCTTTGTTTATATTCTATAACGTCACTATTCGACCTTAATACAAAATTAGACAAAATCTTTCAATGTGTAGGCATGAATATACAAATGTCATACATTTAGGTACAGTCGAATATCGAAAAAATTGTTCCAAGACAATTGTGATATGATTTTTTCATTCATACAAAACGAATTCAATCTTCATCACACCTATTTCGATCATGAAGTCCCAGATTTCACTATTGATGAACTTAAAGAGATTTATGGAGATAGTTGGAAGGGTAGATATAGCTGTTTAGTAACTGTGAGAGATTTTGACCTGAATAAGGGTTTTTATCGGAAAGGATTTGATATCTATAAAAGAATCTTTTATCGAATTGACTCTTAAATTCAGATGTGGAAATGTTCAACAAAATATTACAAATTATAAATATTTCATTTTTGTTGAATCTAATTTCATTAGGTGATTACTCTATACATATAGAGCAAAAAAGCAGAATATTCTTAGATACATTTATTGTATGTTACGACAAATCCATTTTTCGTAATGACACACTTAGTTTCGATGATATTTAGCGGTTCCATGAAAACACGGTCCCACTGTGTCGTTTTCAAGGTCGTATTGTTGAAATTGTTGATCATATTGATTTTGGCTTTATATTGCTGAATTTTTATTTGTAGAATTCTTATATCCTTCAAATGCACCTTCAACGGACTCTCAATACTATTCATGGTGAGGCTAGAAGCGAGTTATAGGAGGAATATAACATTGGTGTCAGTCTACGATGATTTTTTTCACAACGGAAATCTTCGTGGGACTATTTTCAGAACCCGGCTAATTTTTTTTTGTAAATGGAAAAGATACCTCTTTGTAGAAATATGGCATTTTCATAATTGAGATTTTCAAACACACCTGATCGACTACGTCTACCAAATAATGATACATCTCCCTATTTATTTCTTTCAAATCTCTTTTCTATCAATCATATTTCAGCAGACAATTTCTCAACTGCATTCAAAATGGTTTCGAATGATCTGTTTTGAATTCTGACATTCAAATTTCATGCGATATTTTTTTTCAATATTCTTATTTGACAGTGCAATCCACTTCCTTTTCAATATATTTTCGAAAATCCTCTAATAAAAAAAATCATAGATCTTGATGTATGCATTGTTTTCACAACTAAGTATAGATCACAATTTCTCATCACATTTAACTAACTTGTAACTTGTAACGCGATACGCGCTTAACTGATAGGAGGACATCTCAAAAAGAATAAATCTCCAAATCTATTACCTTTGCAGAATTGAGGGCTGATGTCTGTTTTTAATGATGACCCTATATACTTGACTACAATTATATGGTTCAATCACTTGTATCTAACTTTCAAGCACTCTCATCTTGATATTACTGTTTGTGTGTATGAATGTGTGTGTGTTTTGTGTCAATTTCCCCATCATAAACTTATGTTCCAATTTATACCTGCATTAGGGAATTTATCTGATCCTTCCGTATACTCATGGTTGGAACTGCTACAATAAATCTAAATATCTCTTCATCATATAGTTGTTCACAACACAACAGTCCAAAATTTCAAATTTTTCTTTACATTGGCGTTATTTCTCATACTACGTCATTATAGTTACATATGGCCAAGGCCATATGTCTTGCGATGTTACTAGTGGTAGGGGGAGGTCCAGAATCCGGTGTAATTTTCGAGGCCATGTGATGTGCGACCCAAGGTTATAGAATCGTTGCGGCTTTCGAAGCCAAATCATAGGCGGCGAGTTAAAAGAGGGTGTCATGGTAATGATGTAACTCAAGGTCATGTGACATCACATGCATTTCAAGGCCAAGTCATAGGCACAGAGTGAAAAAAGGGTTTCATGTTCAAGTCAGTGTGGTGGCACTGGGGGGAAACAGCTAGGGGGGAGGTCCTCAAACGGCCCTAGCATACTACTCACTACAATTCTTACAATTGGGCACAACAAAACTCTTACTCTATTGTGGAGCAGAGAAGTCAAGGAAAATTTGGATTAAGTGTGTGGGCACTAGTGAGCAAGTGTTTTTAGGTGTAGAATTATCGGCCCGTTCATTTATAGTGGCACTCTCACATCTCAGAGGTATTTAGAAATTTTACGGCAAATGAACCCCTTGTTAATGAATTGCCACTAATGGAGCTCACAAAAATATATTTCCAACAAAACAGGCCTTCGCCTCACAACGCTGCAATTGTCACCAATTTTTTGGCTGCAAATTTGGCTGCAAAGGACCCAACCGTCGGCCGGCTGGGTCACCGGACCTAACGACTATGGAATCTTACCTCTGGGGAAGGTTGAAAGATCTTGTTTTGAAGTTGTTGATTGATTTTAGATACGAATTGGAAGAGGTAGTGATGCAAAGTTTTGCTTTTTTTACTTCTATTGAACTAATAAATTATTCGACAAAAACTTTCAGAAAAGGTGTCACCTGTGTACGATAAGATTGTAGGCATTTCGAACACCTTCTCTGAAGGAATATATTTCATTGTTTGTTCTTTATCATTATTATTACTGTTAAAGTTTCATTGATTAGTAGTTAATATAGTATAAATTGTTATCATTTTTATTGAAACTATGCGTTCTAATTACTGCTGTGAAAAGGTTTCTCTACATCTGTTTTATCGCCGCGACGTCAAAAGCTTATTTGATCAAAGTTTGCGTTTCAAAGTCTACATGAAAAAACCTAATAGCTTCGTATTTGCTACATTTTTGTAAATCTCTGAAATATGTAGGAATATACAGGGTGTCTCGTTAAAGAAACTAGTTTTCCATCAATAACTTTTGATATCTCATTTGAGAAAAAAGTTTTTTACACCATTGAATTCTACATGCAAACATGATGTACCTAACTCAGAAACGATGATAGATATCGATTTGCGGTTTCTACCATTAGGTTTCTGATAAAATTTAACTTTCAGACACAGCCATCAGTTTTAATCTCTATCAAGTTTGAAAACAGGATGCTCGATTGACATTGAAATTTTTATCACGTTCAATTTTCATTCCTTATCATTGTTTTTTTTTTCAGTACACACGAAGCACAAGGCAAACTCCAGTGTAAGATCCAAAACATCAGATTATCCAACTGCAGATAAAGTATAGTGAAGAGTAGTAGCTAGTACAATACTGGATATTTGTTAATCATAACCAAATTATTACTTTCGTTACCTGACAAGTTACCTTTCATATAGACATAGGGAGATTATTTGTATTAATTATAACGAATAATGTTAAGTGACTAATAAATACAGAACAAGTCACTTCAGAATAGTACTCCAAAGTTTGCTGTTCATTTCTTACTGAACCTGAAAGAATCGAAAAATTTACAGTTTGAAAAGACATCGAACATGAAGAAATAAACAGTAAACGTCTTGTACATTGATTTTTCATTGATATAACCGCTTATTTAATGATTCTCTACTTTTTTGAAAAATTACATGTAATCAAACTTGTAATAGAAAAGCATTGAACTTTTTGTTTTTGCCCAGGTTTTGACAAAACTCAACTTCAAACCTTTTTTCTCTTGACCGACTTTTTTTAAAACGGTTCAGTTGCAAACGAATAAATGGAAGGTAATTTAACCCAGAATAATTCATATCGAACTGATTTCCAAATGACACTCAAAATAATCCTCTATGCAAGCTTGGTTCATTCCCTATACAATGTTTCTTCATTCATGTTAGTATCAAGATTAATTTCAAATTTATGAATTATTGAATGAAGCATTGCATTTTTTCTGCATGTTCTCTATTGTTCACAACGATTATGGAAAAATTAACAATAAAACATAAGTAGCAAACGGTCGAAGAAACAGTAAACCAGTTTTTTTATAGGGTGTAGCCCTCTTCAGCTTGGACGATAGCTTCCATTCTCCAAGGCTTTCCACGAATTAGCATCCGAATATACTTCTGGGGTATGTTATACCACTCCTTTATGAGAGTAACACGAAGTTCATTTTTGTTCGTGGGTGGTCTTCTACAACTTCTCACCCATCTTCCTAGATAGTCACAAACATGCTCAATATGACTTGTATCCTAGGAACTAGACGTTGAAGGAGTATATTGTGATCGACAGTATCAAATGCCTTGCCGAAATCCAGAAAGACAGTTATGCATTTTTGTTGATTTTGGAAATAATTGTTGATTTGTCTAACAATTTCAAAAACTACGTTTTCTGTTTATCTACTTTACAAAACACCATATTGTGATTCAGAAACAATATTGTTATTATTGCAAAATTGTATAACTGTATTTTGAGAATATTTCAGTGGAGTTATTGATCACAGTCACTAATTTTTTATAACCAGACTTGAAAATCAGTATTGTGATTGAGTCTTTTAAAGATATGGGTATTTTTTCAAAACTAAATATTGAATTGAAAATGTGCCATACGGATTCTATAAAGTATATATGAAGCTTTTTGATAAGAAACTCAGATATTTTATCATGACCAGGAAGTTATATTTTTTAATCCGGTAATGATATCGATCAACTCGTTTCTTGTTACTGGGTTTAGGAATATTGAGTTGGTGATATCATATTGCCTTCTGAAACGTGAACTGTACGCTTTTCTATTTTACTTGCCATATATTCACCAATTATGAGAAAAAAAATTATTGATTTTTTTTATTTAACAAAAATTTATCTCATCTTCTCTTCTCTTCTCTACTGTTTGTTATTTCGTTTATATTATGCCCAACTTTCTATAAATCATTTTAAAACTCTAATATTTCATTGGTATAGGATTTCTTTCTAGTTTATCGGATGAATTTTGTCAAGAAGTTTCTGTAAAGTTTATAATCATTTTGTTGTTCTGCTGAGAAGTCGGCCAAAATATTTCGTTTAATTTGTCTGTATGGTGTATAGAAATCAGAAGACCATGTGTTATTCATGATTTCAATTTTGTCTGTTTATTTTATATTTTCACTTCTGTACATTTGTCAATATGCTTTTCTAGTTCAACAATACACGTATTGAATGCAGATTCTGGGTCTCTGGATTGCATAATGGGCTCTCAAGTTTATTTATTGAGTGCTTTCATGACCTCATTATAATTAGTGACGGTATATGAGTTTTCCGTACATATATCGGTTATTTTAGAATTTTCATCAACTTTTAGCGATAACAGAGTAACATGTAGTGATCGGGTATATCACATTTGAATATATAAGAATTGATTTTATTGTTGTATTTTTTTTTGAAATTTCCTCATACCCGTTGTCAATTCAGCTTGTAGAGTTAGTCGTTTCTCTGGTCTATTTATTAATGAAAGAAAAAATCCCATTTCAGCCATCATGCATATATTATGTAATTATTAAGTTGTGTGTCTGATGTATTCAATATATTTATTTTTATGTCTCCAATGAATAATTTTATATTTGCCTCTACGAAAATTATATTTCTAATTAGTAGACTTCTTTAAGATGTATTATAGCAGAATTGGAGTTCATATCTTTCCAAATATTAACTATCAAACCATCGTTCTGGTCAAATCGAGATTCATTATATTATAATATATTGAAATTTGGAAGGGAATGGAATGGAATTAGCCATGATTCAGATAATATCATAATATCAACATTAGTTGTATTAGCTAACTGAATATAAAAGAGACATTCATCAACATTTTTTCGCATACTCCCAATATTGAGATGGAATATATTAAAAAAATGATCACCCCTGAAACGTTCTACATTGTCTTTCAAAATCTCTCAAACAATCGTTTCTCTCTCCTCATAATGTTCCATGTAGTTCAAAAAATCTAGCATATTTGTCCTATTGTTTTGAGAAAGTGAATGTGTGTATAACTAAATAATTCAGAATTAAGAATAAAGAAAAATATTATTTATAATTAAAATGTTAGGAAGAGAGTAAGAGTGAAAGAAGGTGAAATCGAAACTTAATTCTTCAAATATATTCTAGCTAGATTTAAATATGATTGATCTGGTGATCTGGCCTACATATATTAATTAACATTTCTGATACATTTTAACAGTTTGTATTTCCAAATTCATCAATTATACAATGAAAGAGAGTCGTACATGATTCATGATGAGTGTTAATTATCTATGATATATTCACTTAGATCTTTCATGCAGGTGAGCCTAGTTTTGTTATTTCTTTTATTTTGGCATATATTTAACTATTGAATGACCATGCATTTTTCACCCCAAAAACAAATTTCGCTTCCATTAACAACAGTCTTCTGCACTTCGTTTGAAAATTTCAGACTTCATCTAGTGATAGTTTTTGAGAACGCCAGAGGTTTCACATACCTGTCAAATCATCAATGAAGTGAAGAAATCGTTATCATGATAATTCTGGTCATTGCATTTAACGAAAACGTACAAAAAATGCATTAGTCATTGACTTATAAATTTAAAACGAACCAAGATATCAAAATGAACGAAGAAACAGTGTGGAAGCGTGCATATAGAATGGTTTTGAGTGTCATCCAAAAGCTGTATTTTACAACTGGGTGTCTTGAACCTAGATTAAAGAAACAACTTTGTTTTCCTTCATATAACGAGAATGTTCATTAGAAAATCTGTTTCATGTGAATTAATCTGGGTTGAAATATCTTGCATTAACAAAAAAAGATATAAAAAAGTTGAAATATTTGTCACGCTATACCTCATAAATGTTTTATACCCCGCACAGTTTTATAACAATCTCTCTCATTTCTATACCCAGAATCGAACACACATTTTGCAATTTCTCCTAATAATGTTTTTTTTATCATAACAAACACCTACACTTCAATTTATGTAAAATGTAACAAAATCCAACTGAAAAGGCTATCCACAACATAAAAAAATTATACTTCAATACTACAAAAGGAATATTCAGTTAATAATAAAATAGTTTACTTTTCTGAAAATGAATATCTGATTCAATGTGAGTATTATTCAAAAAAATTATATTTTGTGTCATTTTTTTCTTCAATTTCTGAATACTCCTAAAAATTCGTAGACTAAACATTCACTGACGAAGTTTCATTAGTAATCAGTTTATAATTTCTCTAGGGACTTCCTAAAATAAATGAAACTTCGAGGTAATTCAAACAATAGCAACGGTTGTAATTCGAACAAAGAGAGGAACATTTTCGTGTATATTTCCGACCTGAGCTACAAAGATAATACCAATTTAATGGCATAGTGATTCAATATAAAATATTGCATGTCAGAAGGTAGTAACTGAAAGTACAATTGTTAGAATAGGCCTAGCGATGTCCACTTTGTTATGAGCTCTTAGCACGACAAGTATTGTAGTCTTGAAGTTTTTTCCAACGCTCATAATGTGATTTTTCTGTTTATTTGTCCTTTGTGAGCTTCCTGTCAATGATTTACTTTCTCACTCGCATTTGAATATCTCAGTTCATAATTATTTTTAATGTTCCCTGAATGTTGGGGGTCTCTCATGATTATTCCTCGGGTATCTGATTCTACCGAGGAACATTAACATTGGCATGGCAGGATATAAATGGAAATGCGTTTATTTGAAAACAAACCAAAACTGTGTACTTATGATTTATTCATAATGAAATAAGTGTATTCGATGCCAAGTTGTAGTAATTTTGTTTTCGATTTAATTCACCGCAAGAGTATAATGAAATGATAAATTATCCAGATCAGTGTTACAACCAGTTTTTTTTTTGGAATAATGATCTGTATTCAGGAAAAATTCATCGTATACCTAGTGGGTAAAAAACTATTGTAAATCACTTTCTCAATGTGTTTATCCTTGAATTCAGAAATTTCCAGAAATAATTTGATAAAATCAATGGAAAATCAAACTCAGAATTGGTGTAACAATGAAAAAATTTGTGTGTTTTTGTAATAGACTCCTCGACTGAAATGATTCTACAAGTAACTGTATAAAATATTTCCATTTATATTGGGAAGGATCACGGAGTGGTGGCATCCAGATTTTGGTAACCCTAACGACATCAAACTCTTCGAAAACAATGGTTTATGCCAATTGAGAAACTGTTGTAACAATCATTCAAATAGTAGTTGTTTAGTTCATTAAATGATTACATAAATGTAAAAAATCAGCTCTTCATAACGACTATATGTAGTAGCTTTGAAATCATTGATCATTTATATCTACAGTGTAATAAATATAATCCGGAAAATGCATATCTTCTTTTAAGATTGGTAAATAGCAAACGAATGGAAAATTAAACCCAGGATGAAAGAGAAGAAAATACCCATGATACACAAATACTCTTTTGAGAAAAAGTTTTTGGCTTTCTACTACTCATCTTGATACAAAAAAATGTGGGATTCATCCAAAGAAAGAAAGGAAGCAATCAATTTTAAAAGAAGGAACTCTATACACAGATGTGTAGATCATGCAAAGAAGTAACTTTCAGACACAAACTGAAAGAAAAAACTCTCCTGAAACAGCTACTTTCATATAAACATTGAATTACACGTAAGAAAAATACTTTCGAAACAAATACTTTTATATGAACACTGAATTACACAAAGAACACGTTTCTCCACGCAGTTTGTATTCCAAACATTCGTTATCGAATGGGGTCAGATACCATTCACTGAATTCGTACAGAATATACTAAATGAAAGGTAAACATTTTCACTTACATGGAACACTGTCATCCTAGCTAGTAGACAGAGATGTTTCACTGTAAGACACTTATGGCTTTTCAGTACCAACGTGTTAGGAATCACACATTAAAAGGTAAGACCTCGTTAGTCCTTAGCTCGCACAAGTTTCTCAACTTCTGAGAGTTGTCGTTCGTATGGGGGCGACAGCTGATTAACATAAAAACATTTTTTTTTAATATGGATAACTTTATAGTACAGAGTTACTTCTTATGAAACTGACTGCTTCCTTCTTTTCTTTGGAAGAATCCCACTTTTTTTGTTTCAAGATGGAGTAGTATAAAGCCAAAAACTTTCTCTTTCAAAAATCAATCACTCCTAAGAATATAACCCTTTCAATTCAACACAAATACCCTTTAGAAGAAACACAAATCCTGGACACAACTCAGAATTACTATCCAAGAGTATATAGGAAGACAATAGAAATTCATAAAACACAAACAAATTTCAATAGAAAAACCGGAGACAAATTTCATTACCGTTAGTATCTGCAGTGAGAAAAACTCAAGCACTTCATGCGTTGCCTCATATTCATTGATAATACCTACCGCAGTGGTAGAAGTATCGGCCAATTCCATCATATATCTTAATTTATATGCAATCACTTCTCAGAACATTAAAATATGAGTTTACAATCGATATAGAAAAGTTTGTTTTATTTTGTGAAAAGTAACTGAGTTTCTGAAAAAAACCTCATTTCAATTTTTTTTAATATATAGAGTCCATAATACAAATGTCGAAAAGACATGGTCCCAGAAAGAAAGTATCCTGTCATTATAAAATATATTTCCTCCTAGTTGTCCATTCAATAGGAGAAAAACGTCAACTTTCTGTCGGTTCATTAGCCAAATTTACAATAATAATCGGGGACGAGTTTATAAAAAGTGTTGTTAATTCTACAGCCACTTTCGTCAAGGGAAATACGGTTGTACGTCCCAAGAATTCACACATAACTGGCTCTTCTGGAAGAAACCAGTAATAGTTAGATCGTTGATTTTTTTAAATATTCACAAATGTATATTGTGAATACAATAATGGACAAGTATGGCATAAAAGTTATATGCACGACCAGAGTAGAATAGCTAAGAGAACATGGGGCAAATGGCAACACCGCCTTATGAGAAATACCATGTAAATTTGGAGAAAAAAGCCAAGCTCCGTTTTGCAAATTTTTGTCCCAACATGGTAATCTCCATATGACAGTGTTGCCAGATTTCCCCAGATCCACAAGATTTCATACACCATTCAGATGTCGCACGATCCACTGTATTGAAAATAAAAGTGAAATAACTCTGCGCGCTCGACCCAATACTATCTGGCATTAAAGATGAAATTCAGTCATTGCGACCCTCGTGTGGATTGAATAATTTCCCAAACTACCTTTTCCATATTAAAAAGTAGGGTCTGTGTGTGTGTGTGTGAACGGCCGAAAGCCGTGATGTGGTAATCGATTTAAGACAGGTGTTGAAGTATTGTGGAGTGAGAAGATTAAATAACGTGCATTTGATGAACAATATTGTGAAATCTCGTGAAGTATTAACTTGAAAATTAT